GATAAGTCCCTTTAACATTTCATATGATAAGGGCTTGGTGATGATGAACTCCTTCAATTTGATCTTATCTGAGAAGCACCTTATCTATCCTTCCATTCTAAAGGAAAGTTTTTCTGGATAGAACAATCTTGGTTGTAGGTCTTTGGATTTCATCACTTGGAATACCTCTTTCCAGCCCCTTCTTGCCTGTAAGGTCTCTTTTGAGAAATCAGCTGACAGTCTGATGGGGACTCCTTTGTAGGTGACTGTCCCCTTAGCTCTTGCTGCTTCTAGGATTCTCTCCTTCATTTTAATTTTGGCTAATGTAATGATGATGTGCCTTGGTGTGTTCCTTCTTGGGTCCAACTTCTCTGGGACTCTCTGAGCTTCCTGGATTTCCTGGAAGTCTATTTCCTTTGCCAGATTGGGGAAATTCTCCTTTATTATTTGTTCAAATAAGTTTTCCACTGGTGGCTGTGCCTTTCCCCCTTCTGGTACCCCTATAATTCGGATGTTGGAGCGTTTAAAGATGTCCTGGAGGTTCCTAAGACTCTCCTCATTTCTTTGAATTCTTGCTTCTTGACTCTTTTCTGTTTGGCCATTATTTGCTTTCTTCTGGTCCTCTCCAATGATTTGAGTCCCAGTTTCCTATTCATTGCTATTGGTGTCCTGTGCAATTCCATTCATTTCAATTAGTTTCGCCTTCATATATTTGTCTAATTTGTGGCTATAATCAACCAGTTCTGTGAGGATCCTGATGACCAGTGTTTTAAACTGTGCATCTGAGAGTTTTGCTATTTCTTCATCGCTTAGATCTATGGGCTCTGGGGCTTTGAGATCTTCTTGCGACATTTTTGGTCTGTTCTGGCCCTTTAAGTGTGAGAAGCAGTGCCTTGGACTCCCAGGTCGCTGGGTTGTGACGCTGTATGTGGGGGCGTGGTCAGAGCGGGGAAATGGCGACCCCCTCTGCTGTTTCTCACAATTGGGCGAGGATCAGCGCATTAGGTGGTTCACCTGGGCCGAGCCACTCAGAGTCACTGGGTTATGACGCTGTATGTGGAGGTGGGGTCAGAGCGGGGAAATGGCGGTGCTCTCCCTGCCGCTTGCCACGGGGACCCGCCCGGCCCGGTCCAACAGCCCACTCCCTCGCCTTTCCGCCTGCACACAAATGCGCGACCACAGTCAACACGCAGGACCGCTCCCCCGCTGTCTCCCCCGCGGTCGCTCACTAGGTCCAACCCTGTGCCTGGATTCCGCGTGAATGGATTCCGCTCGCTTGAGTCTGTCCGACCGAGTTTTCCTGTGCAACCCTGTTTCACCAGCAGCTGGTTTCGCCCCTTACCGGTCAGGCTGAAGAATTTGTTGTTAACGGACTTCCGAAAAGTTCAATTTTCCGTGTTCTGGCTGTGTTTTCTGTTGCTAATATTTAGTTGTCTCTAAACTTGGTTGTGTGAGAAGGCACAGCACATCCACCTATGCCTCCATCTTGGCGGAAGTTCCATCCAACTTTCCATGTGTATTTATTTCAAGAATGATGAATGAAATAATGCTTACTATTGTTATTAATAATGAAAGTTCACAGACATTTACAGAAAAATCTCCAAAATAACATTCAGAGATTGAAACAAGCACAGAAAAAAAAGGCATATCACAGGCAGTAGAAAATGCAGGTAAGAAGTGAAAATTAAAAAAAAAACAAAAAAACCTACCATACTACTGAAAGATATAAAGGAAGGTATTAAACTCACAAAATATAAAAGTGGAATGAAAAAGTTTCAGATAACAAGGAAGATCTTTTGAAGAGTAAAAATAAGACAGCTAAACTACAAAGGAAGAGAAGGGTTAAAATAGACATAACAATAAACAAAAGAAGCCAGGCTGAATCATCATACACTGTACTGGTGACTTTCAACCTTTTTCATCTCACAGCGTATGTAAACAAATTACTAAAATTTTGCAGCACACCAGAGAATATATTTTTTGCTAATTTAACAAAAAATAGGTATAATTCGTTCACACTGGGTGACTATTGTTGTATTGGCTGCTGTCATTTATGTGACAATCTAAAGGAAAAAAGGTCAGTGCCCCTAACTAGTAGATATTGCATAGTTGGGTATTTTAAAAGGATTTTATTTATTTTTAGCCCTGGCTGGAGTGGTTCAGTGGATTGAGTGCCATCCTGCGAACCAAAGGGTCATTGGTTCAATTCCCAGCTGGGGCATATGCCTGGGTTGCAGGCCAGACCCCAAGGGGGGAGGGGGACATGAGAGGCAACCACACATTGATGTTTCTCTCTCTTTTTCTCTCCCTCTCTCTTTAAAAATAACTAAATAAAATCTTTTTTAAAATAAAATATTTTATTTATTTTTAGAAAAGAGGGAAGGGATCGAGAATGAGAGGGAAATAAACATTGATATACAAGAGAGACAATCAATAGCCTCTCGCACACTCCCAACTGGGGACCTGGTTTGTAACCCAGGCATGTGCTCTGACCAGGAATCAAACTATTGACCTTTTGGTTCACAGGCCAGCACTCAATCTACTGAGACACACCAGCCAGGGAAGACTGCATGTTTTAAAAATTCTTGCAGCACACTGGCTAAAAAGTATTGCTCTGTATGATTCCACCTGTGTTAAGTTACAGAACAGATTCAAATTCATATGGGAACAGAGGAGAAGAATAATGACCTCAGACAGGAAGGGGCTCACTGGGAAGGGGACACAAGGGTCATTTTGGGACACTAGAAGCATTCTCTTTCTTAATCTGGGAGGTGATTACAACAGTATATGTGTGTGTATATACATAAAAATTCATCAAGCCGACACTTAAGATCAGTGCACTTTACTATGTGCTTTCTTTTTAAAAGGAAATACAGGCATAGGCAATCTCTTTTTATTTGAGCTTTACTTTATTGTGCTTTGCAGATAGAGGTTTTTTTTTGTTTGTTTGTTTTTTTTTACAAATTGAAGGAAAGACCCTCCATCAACATAAAGATTAGGACTCAACTGAAGGCTCAGATGATGGGTAGTAATTTTTGGCAATAAAGTATTTTTTAACTAAAATATTATTTTGTAGACATAATGTTATTGCACATTTAATAGACGAAAATACAGTATAAATGTAACTTTTATATACGCACTGGGAAACCAAAGAATTCATGCTACTTGCTCTATTATATTTGCTTTATTGTGGTGCGTGGAGCCAAACCCACATTATCTCTAAGGTAGGCCTGTACACGGCAAGGATTTCCTAGTTATGACATCAAAAGCACAGACAACAACAGTAAAAATAGACAAACTAGTCTATTTCAAAATTAAAAGCTTACGTGCATCAAAAGACACAATAAGCAATGAAAAAGTAATCTACAGAATGGAAGAAAATATCTGCAAATCATATGTGGTAAAGGATTAACATCCATAATAGAACATATAAAGAACTCCTACAACTCAACAACAAATAAAGAAAACAAATGGCCTGATTTAAAGCAGATTTGACCTGGCTGGTGTAGCTCAGTGGATTGAGCATGGGCCTGTGAACCAGAGTATCGAGGTTAGATTCCCAATCAGGGCACATGCCTGGGTTGCAGGCCAGTTCCCAGCAGGGGACACACAAGAGGCAACTATACATTGTTATTTCTCTCCCTCTCTCCTTCCTTTCCCCTCTAAAGATAAAAATATAAAATCTTTAAAAAAATAAATGAAGCAGATTTGAGTAAACATTTCTCCTGAAGTGACATGTAAATGGCTAACAAGCCATTTCTATGAAAAGATGTTCAATATCACTAATCAGGAAAATGCAAACCAAAACTGTAATAAAATACTACTTCACACACCTGTTAGGATGGTTACTAGTAAAAAACCCTACAAAATTAACTGTAGGTGAGGATGTGGAGAAACTGGAACCCTCGTGCGCTGTTGGTTGGGAATATAAAATGGTATAGACACTACAGAAAACAGTTGGTGGTTCCTCAAAAAATTAAAAAATAGAACTATCACATGATCCAGCAATTCCACTTCTGGGTATATACATGTATATCCAAAAGAACTGAAAGCAGGATCCTGAACAGGTGTTTATACACCCATGTATACAGCACCACTAATCACAAAAGCAAAGAGGTAGGAGCAACCCAAGAGTCTATGAACAAATGAACAAAATGTGGTATACCCATATGACAGAATATTATTCAGTCTTAGGAAGAAAATTCTGACACGCTACAACATGGGTGAACCTAAGGACATCACACTTAGTAAAATAAAGCAGTCACAAAAGGACAAACACTATATGATGCCACTTACATGAGGTAATACTGTATATGAGGTATCTAGTCAAATTCATAGAAACATAAGTACAGGGTGATTGCTAGGGGCTGGGGAGAGTGGGAAATGGGGAGTTATTAATGGCTATAAAATTTCAGTTTTGCAAAGGAAAAGTTCTAGATGCAGGACAATGAATAAATTTAACATTACTGGATTATATACTTCAAAATCGTTAAGGTGGAAATTTTATTATATTTATTTTTACTACAATTTTAAGTAAATAAAGTATAAAGCTAGGGAAAATTTCTAGAAAGCAAAACAAAAATCAAACAACAAAAAAGAAAAAATACAGAACTAAATTAGGAAATCAAACATCTGACTGACAGAAGTTGTAGTAAATACAAAACCAAAAAAGAAAAATCAAAGAAATTGAAGGACATGAGTTTTTGAACTGAAAACACCCACCTATAACTCAGCCCAATACATAAAATTTCAGAGTATCAAGGATAAAGTGAAAATTCTTTTTTTTTTAAGTGAAAATTCTTAAAGTGACCCAGATTCAAAATAGTCCACATTGAAAGGAACTGATAGTCAGATGGCACTGTTCTTTTTCAAAAGCACAGGATACTAAAAGAATGGGATAATACCTTAAAAATTCTGGAACAAATTATTAATGGCTTAGGATTCCATATGTAACTACATGATAAACTAGACATAAAACCAGAATAAATTCAAGACTCATGTGGTATTCAAATATTAATACAGTACACACATTAGCAGTACATTCACTAAAACTGGAACAACACAGAGATTAATTAGCATAGACCCTGCACAAGGATGATACACAAATTCATGAAGTGTTCTATATTTTTTAAATAAATAAAATAAATATTAATACACAAATGAGCAAAATTAATAGTTTCTAAAGAATAAATGTTCCTAAGTTGGTTTAACTGCCTCCATTAAATCTGATTGTTGTAACTATTGCTTTGCTGTTGTAACAGCTCTTCCTGTTGCTTTTATAAGAATCATCAAAGGTATTCTGCGGCTGCTCACGTGGTGTTTTTTATTATATATGCAGAGGTATACAAACATCTCTATGGTCTACTTCCACAGCATTTTCATCACCTCAAAAAGATAGTCCATACCCATATCCATTAGCAATCATTCCTCATTCTCCCCTCCTAGCACTTGGAGACCACTCATCTACTTCCTGCTTCAACTGATTTGCCTATTTTTCACATTTCCTACTGATGGAATCATACAACTTGTAGTCTTTTGTGTGTGGATTCTTTCACTAAGCATGTTTTCAAGGTATAGCCATGTTGGAGCATGTATAGTATTTCATTACTTTTATGGTTGAATAATATTCAATAGAGATCCCACATTCTGTTTACACATTGGTTACTAGATGGACATTTGAGATACTTCCACTTTTTGGCCATTCTGAACAATGCTGATATGAGTGTTTTCAATTTTCTTGGTATATACCTAGGAGTGTAATTGCTCCTTTTTATTTTTATTTTTTTAAAGATTTTATTTATTTATTTTTAGACAGAGGGGAATGAAGGGAGAAAGAGAGAGAAACATCAATATGTGGTTGCCTCTCATGTGGCCTACACTGGGGACCTGGCCTGCAATCCAGGCATGTGCCCTGACTGGGAATTGAACTGGTGACCCGTTGGTTCACAGCCCATGCTCAATCCACTGAGCTATACCAACCAGGGCTAATTGCTCCTTTTTAAACAATATTCACTAAGCTTTTCCAAAATTTTCTACTGCCAAAGATAATGAGATATCAATAATCTCCCGTGTGGCTTACAGCAACATGATATTGTTCAGACCTAAGCAGCATAACTTAGATAATACACAAAGAATATTAAAAAGAATGTAAAAAAAATAGGAATAGACAGGAACTTCTTCAACCTGATAAAGAGCATTTACAAAAACCCTAGAGTTAACAGATTAATAATGACTGAAGATTGACTACTTAACTTCTATGGTCAGAAATATGACAAGAATGTCTGCTCAAGTTATTTATATTCAACACTGTATTGCAGATTATAGTCAGTACAGTAAGGCAAAAAAAAATAAACAGCTAAGAAAAGAAGTAAAACTATTTTCATTCCCAAATGAATAACTGTCTACGTTTAAAACCTTATATAATCAAAATATCTACAGAACTTGTGCAGAGCATAAAATCAATAGACAAAAACCAACTGTGGAAGTAACGTCAAGAAAGGGGCAGAATCAAAAAAAAAAAAAGAAAGGGGCAGAATCGGATGCTCCAGGAATCTTACTCTGCAACCAAGCACCACTGAGCTGGTGGAACTACTTGAAGCAACTACTGGGGAACTCTGGAATCTGGTCAAACCCTCATCTGGGAGGGGAGAACTGATTAAGTACATGGTAAGTTTCAGGTATTTTCCTTTAGCAGCTAGCTACTAACCCACAGCCAAGAGATTCAATAAACTTCCAGGAAAAACTGAAAGGGACCCACCACACCCACACATTATAGTCAAAATGTTAAACCTCAAGGACAAAGAGATAATTTTGAAAGCAGAAAGATAAAAGTAACCAGTTACATAAAAGACATCCTCATTAAGATTTAACAGCTGGTTGCCCTGACTGGCCTGGCTGAACTGATTGGGTGTAATCCTGCAGTGCTAATGTGGTTCCTGATTCCATTACTGGTCATGACACACGCCTGTGTTGTAGGTTTGGTCCCCGGGCAAGTACAAGAAGCAACTGATTAATTTTTTCTTTCTCTTTCTCACTCCCTTCCCCTCTCTCTAAAAGTAAAGACATGAAATCTTAAAAAAAAAATACAAAAGATTCAACAGTTGACTTCCCAAAAATCATTAAGACTAGGAGGCAATGGGCTGACAATTTTTAAGTCCTGAAAAAGTGTCAACAAAGAATTGTATACCTGCAAAACTTCCTTCATAAGTAAAGGACAATTAAGACATTATCACATTTTTTAAAAACTGAGGGAGGATATTACTAGAAATGCTAAAAGGAATTCTTAAGGCTGAAATTAAAAGACAAGAATGTTACAGAGCAAGCCGAAGATGAATACCAGAGGACTTGGATCTCAGCTAAAGGACAGCATTCCGGTTATGGAACTTTCAGCAAGTGGACCTTTTGAAAGTCATGATCTTCTTCGAAAAGGTTTTACTTGTGTGAAAAATGAACTTTTGCCCAGTCATCCTCTTGAATTATCAGAAAAAAATTTCCAGCTCAACCAAGATAAAATGAATTTTTCCACACTGAGAAACATCCAAGGTCTGTGTGCTCCACTAAAATTGCAAATGGAATTCAAGGGAGTGCAACAGGTTCAGCGTCCGTCTTCCATTTCTTCCAAGCTCAAACCTTTCACTGGATATTTTGAGGGGTAATGATGAAACTAGTGGATTTGAAGATATTCTTAATGACCCATCACAAAGTGAACTAATGGGAGAACCACACTTTATGGTGGAATATAAACTAGGTTTGCTGTAATACAGTGAGCTGACCATGAAAATGGAGGGGCTGCATCGTGTTTACATCGCCTTTTTACTACAGTTGTATGTGTACGATATTAAAAGTACTGATGCATAAGAAAAAAAAAAAAGACAAGAATGTAACTCAAAGATAAAAAAACAAAGAACACTAGCAAAAATAATTTCATAAAAAGCCAGCTCTACTTTATATACTTTTGGTTCTAATTTTCTAATTTTTTTGCTAAGTGATTAAAAAGGCGAATGCATAAAACAATAATTACTAATCTATGTTAACAGACATACAAGGCGTAAAGATATAATCTGTGACAATAACAGTATAAAGGGAAGGGAACAGAGGTGTATACATAAGCAGAGTATTTGTATCCTACTGAAACAAAGTTCTTGTTATTCAAACTAGAGTGTTACAATTTTAACAGGTTAATTATAATCCCCAAAGTAACCACTAAGTAAACAACTAAAAAATATTCAGAAAATGAAAGAAGAGAATCTAAATGGCATACTACAAAAAAAAAAAATCACCTAAATATAAAATGGGCAGTAATGGAGGAATTGACAAAAACCTTACAAAAAATAGAGGAAATAAATAGCCAAATGACAAACGTAAGTAATTCTTTTATCAGCAGTAATATGAAAATGTAAATGGATCAAACTCTATTTTAAAAAAGGCTTTGGCAGACTGGATAGACAAAACAAGGTCCATATACACACTATTAAGAGGTAGTGTACAGAAAAGAGGTAGCGTACCTCTTTAGAGGTACAGAAAAGGGACAGTGGTCTCTGCCCATGTTTCTGTCCCCCAACCCTCACCTTGATGCCAGACATTTCACTTTCTCTCTGTATGACACTGGTGCCTTTCAAGCTCTCCCATTACTTGAGGAAAATTTAAATACAGGGATGCAGGAGGAAAACAATAGATTAGAAAAAAATATCCTAGGCAAATAGTAACCAAGAAAAATCTGGGATGGCTATATTTATTGAGACAAAATACATATCAAATCAAAAGATGGTTACAAGAAATAGAAAGGGATGGTATAGTGTGAAAAGGTTCAAAAGTACAAGATGCAGCAGTCTACACATTCTTTTCACACGCACATGGAATATTTTTTGGGATATAACATATGTTAGGCCAAAGGCTGAAATCGTACAAAGTATCTTTTTTGATCACAATGAAATAAAACTAGAAATCAGTAACAAGAAAAACTGGAAAATTCACAAATATGTGGAAATTAAATAAAAACACTTTAAAACAAACAAAAGATCAAAGAAGACATCACAAGGGAAATCACACAACACCTTGAGACAAAAACACAACAAACCCTTAAGATGCAGTGAGCCGTGCTAAGAGGAAAATGTACAGATGCAAGTACCTAAATTAAACAAAGAACACAACATGGTGGCATAGGTTCACTTGGCTCGCCTCCTCACACAACTACGTCAAAATTACAACAAACACAGAGAACCACCATTTCTCAGAACTGTCAGAAATCATGTTGAATGGAAGACTGACGACTACAGAATTAAAGAAACCGCATCCACCCAGACTATTAGAAGGGGCACAGATGTGGAATGGGCTGGTTCCCCATCCATGAGTGGCAGATAAAAATTCAGGAGAAATATTTTGGGAGTAAGTAGCCCCACCCCAACAACAGGCCTCCCAGCCCAGGGTTCCAATGCCAGGAAGAAAAGTCCCCACAACTTCTAGTTGCAAAAACCACAGGGGATTGAGTGGGTAGAAGAAACTTCTGGAGTTCCAGGCAGTTCCTCTTAACCCACACAAAGACTTACTTGGACTCACTCTCTCTGAGCTCCAGCACCAGGATAGCAGCTTGAAAGGCACCAGTGTCATACAGAGAGAAACTGAAGTGTCTGGCATCAAGGTGAGGGCCTGGGGACAGAAATGTGGGCAGAAACCATTGCCCCTTTTCTGAACCACGTATGATTTCAACTCACACAGCCATAGAGGCAGCAGGCTAGTGCAGTATCTGGGATTCCATCTCCGTGGTTAACAATGTTTGACCCTGCCTGAGATCCACAGAGACAGTCCCACATAGTCCCACCCACCCAAGAAGCTTTTGCATATAAATGGCTGGTCTTGGTTCATGCCTCACATCCTCTGAACAGTCAACAGCCAGCCTCTGTGGGACCCAGCCCCCATACCTCTTGCTAAAGGGCACCAGGCCTGGCACTAGCAACAACTAGCCTAGGTTCACAGCTTGGCTTCACCTGGGAATCTCCAAGCCCAGCACAAGTAGCAGACATCTCAGATTGCTCTACAGCTCAGGCAGGTGCCCCTGAGCAAAATGCAGGTTAGGGCCGACCTTAGCCTATACCATCTGGGAAAGCACAGAGCCTGCAACCCAGTGGACAGC